GGTAAGCCAGTAGTTTTGGCTAGTGCTTAAGTTATAGGTGTTTTTATTCCGAATATTGTGATTGTGAGCTCGTACCTCGCTTTAAATTACATTTTTTTATTAGATTACTAGCTTATGCCCGCGGCTTCACCCGCGTGAAATTTAATGTCCGTTCAGTACTTTTTGCGTGAAAGAGTAACAAACATCCAGACATCCAAACTTTCGTATTTATAATATTAGTAGGATAGGCCCCTTTTAGGGCACTTATACTCGTCTCAAATAGAGCTTGCTCTACTAAGTACTACTTTAAGGCAATTAATTTAATTCAGTTTATCTTAAAGACAAATTACGGAATAATTGTCTTGTTATAGCTTTCCAAATGTAGGTAGCCTATACTTTAACATCATGTGAGTGTACCGTAAAACAGTTGAAATAATATTTGTCTTAAATAGACCGCAATTTGCCTGTGTAATGTCAACAAATTCTACCGTATTTATTGTCTGGATAACAATGTATCAAGTCTTCAACACAATGGAAATCACGCGGTTGCTATAATTTTGCTGGTTGAATACGTAGTTTCAAACAATATTTATCAATGAAAACAAACATAGGCAGATGATAAAGTACCGCGGTTACTGTTTATAACCTTATGTAATCTGTCTGTAACACTGGTATTGGAATACGATTTAAAACTTAGTTAATATTTTTCTTGCACGTGTAATTTACCATCTATAGAAATAGTTAATTTGATATCAAACGATCTCCTTATATTTCATTTTTTACATTTCAGCATCTCTTCCTGCTGTCACCATCCTCATTGGTAATTTCACCATCCCAAGCATCATGGGGCAGTTCGGGAGGAAAATTGCCAGCCTAACTTGCATCTTCATCACCATCGCTGGCTGGATCAGCGTCTACCTAGCCAATGACGTCATCTCCATTCTAGCAGCTAGAGGCTTGCAAGGAATCGCTCTGGGCATGGTCTCCGCGTTAGGCCCGGTTCTCATCGGAGAATACACTAGTCCTAAAAATAGGGGTGCCTTCCTCATGACCATTTCCATCACCATTGGAATTGGAGTACTAGCTGTACACGTTTTAGGTTCATATTTGCGTTGGCAGACTGCAGCGCTGATTGTGATAGCCATGACTGTGGTAGACTTATTGATTGTTATATCATCTCCAGAATCTCCAGCCTGGTTGGCTGATCAGGGAAGGTTTGAGGAGTGTACTGTGGTCTTTAGATGGCTAAGAGGTGATACAGAAGAAGATGAATTAGAGAAAATGATAAAAACAAGCACGGCGTTACGAAAAGAGAAAGAAGGTGTTGCTACAGAAGATTCAAGCTTGGTGAAGATGTGGAATAACATAAAAGATTTCAGATTGACGCTAAAGAGGAACGAGTTTTACAAACCGATCGTAATAATGTTGCATATCTACACCATGGCTCAATGGTGTGGCCTCCACGTCCTAGCGTCATATGGTTTCGTCCTGATACATAGCACCATAGGCACCAACATCAACGTGCCTCTGATGATCATATCATTAGATTGCAACAGAATAATATCAAACACTATTGCTCTGATTCTGATTAGGAAAATAAGAAGAAAATTCATGATGTTTTCGACTATTGGACTGAACATTGTATGTCTGCTAGCCGTAGCAGGGTACACGTATTCGAAAACTTACAATCTGATCACTTTGGACAATGAGTATGTGGGCATTGCGTTGCTCCATATAATGACATTGTCGATGGGGATGGGATGTCTCCCTATTTCGTTTATCCTGGCAGGGGAAATCCTGCCGTTGCAATTCAAGAGTTTAGCGGGAGGGATCAGCTCCTCCTTTTTCTCCCTAAACATGTTCATTGCCCTCAAAACTCTTCCGCTTTTGATGAACAGTATTGATATCCATGGAACTTTTACTGCCTATGCTGTACTGTTGATATATTGCCTGACTGTGGCTGGGTGTATGCTGCCAGAAACTAAGGATAAGACTTTGCAAGAAATTGAGGAAGAATTTAAAGGGAAGAAGAAACCAGTGCCTGCAGGTTTGACACCATAATAAGAAGGCGGATAATTCCGAGACTCTAGGTACTTACACAAATACAATATCTATAGAAATAAACACATTTTGAATGGGTTAATGACTAATTACTTTTCCTTTAATATATCCATAGTACCTACCTAATTTGATGGTTAACAAAACTTATTGATCGGTTTCATAATGCTTTTATTTTCCACTAGCGGCCGCCCGCGACTTCGTACGCGTGGATCTCGTTTTACCCCCCCTTCATCTATCTTACGCGGTTTAGATTTTTTCATACAAATGTTTTTTCCCGCTAACTCCCGTTCCCGTGAGAATTTTGCAATATCCTGTTGTAACTAAGCTTTAAGTTTACTAAGGTACCTGCATGCCAAATTTCAAGCGTCTAACTTAAGCGGTTTAGATTTTTCATACAAAAGGATTTTCCCGCTAATTCCCGTTCCCGTGGGAATTCCTAAGTATCTTATAACCTGCCCAGGAGTATGAAGAATAATTGTACCAAGTTTCGTTAAAATCCGTCGAGCAGTTTTTGTTTCTATAAGGAACATACAGACAGACAGACAGACAGACAGACAGACAGACAGACAAAAATTTTACTGATTGCATTTTTGTCATCAGTATCGATCACTAATCACCCCCTGATAGTTATTTTGAAAATATATTTCATGTACAGAATTGACCTCTCTACAGATTTATTATAAGTATAGATAAAATGAATCGCAATTCGTCTGTATTAAGAATTTGCCTTTCAATAACTTTCAGGTATTTTTACAAGTTTTAAGTTTTCGAGCATTACCAGCCTTAAGTCCTGAAACTTTAATTTTGTTTTTTCTTAATGTAAATTAGGTTGAAAATGGAGTACCTACTTGTATTGAGTTTGAAGAAAAGCACTGCCTTCTATAAATTTTTGCACATGCGTAGATCCCCCATACCTGCATACGAGTATATCACAAAACTTAGGAACTTTTACAGGCTCTTGGTGCTCTTGATTAAGTACCTAGTTTTGCTCTTTTATCTAATTCCAAGTTTGCTGTAACTGTTTTATACTATTTATAATAAACTAGATAGCCAACTTAATTACAGCAATCAGTCCCGGCTTCATTGAGACACATGCAATATGCATATTAATGTCATTGATCTTGACCCAGTTATCTGGGACTTTAGCGACGCTAACTTTGAATTTAAATCAAGTGTTTTACCCGTGTTTATGTTAGCAACTGGCCTACCCTTTGAATTTTTAATCCATAAACGAAGACATAATATTTTTAGACCTTTATTTTTCATCTAGAACACCCTCACTGTTCCAAGCTGTTGAAAAAGACCACCGCTATTAAGCATTTCCACAACGACCGGTCCGGCTGCCGGACCGGATTTTCAGGCCATAAGATTATAAAGCGCAATACACACTGAGCCCGCCGGGCCGCCGACAAAGCCCGGCGACACAACCCGGCGGCCTGTATGAAAAGAATCATGTCAGCTACATGCGCCCGCGGGTGGTACCCGCCGACATTTTGGCGGCTTGCTCGACCTAGTGATGTGCTTGTATGCTGACTGCCAAATAAATTTCTCATCTCAAGCCGCCGACATGCCTCCGACCAAATTTTCCGACTTGTAATAAGTGAAGTCGCCAACTAGACCGCCGACAAAAAGTTGCCGACATATGTCGGCGGCCCGGCGGGCTCTAATGTGTATTGCGCTTAATAATCCAAGATTATGAATAGTTTTTTTTAACCCAATCACCTGATGTTATGTGAAATGTAGTCTGGGGTGGTTTGTATCTACCTAACTGCCTAGTAATCGATTTACTCGTACTCTCGCGTAGAAGAGGCCCAGATTATAGTGACAAATGGGTACCAGCTGTTACGAATAACGATTGTATCACATCATTAAGAACCTATAAACATCTGTTATCTCGTTAACTAAATGTGCCTGTAAAAATGTTGATGTTTTGTCGGTGTATTGTACTAAAACTTCAGTTTGAACATCGTCAGTGGCTACACTTAGGTACTTCGCCAGGACTTGCGGCTATCCTCTTGGGGGTACTTTAACAGGCGATTACAATTATTATCTTAACAGACTAAAATAATTCCCTACCTATTATTTTATCATACGTACTAAGTGGTAGTTTGTCGACTAAAACATTTGCGCGCCTAATATTTCCTCCAGCTGTCGCTCGACAAAAGACGTTGCGTTATCAATCAGAAAGTTACTGAACACTAATATCTCGAATTTTTCTGGACAGCTTTTCTATAGTGATAATTTTTGACTATGAGTCCATAATAAACACATTTTAAAGGGAATTTTAAGGGAGTAATGACATACCCGATCAAAATTCGTAAAGCTCTACTAAGTAAGTCATAGTTTAGAGCCGCGAACCAAGGACGCCCAGTGCGTAACGCGAGTAGATTCAGTAGGTTTGTTTCTTTATTTCTTCACAAGAAAGTAAGTGAAACTATTGTTTCCAAATTTTGGATCATAGATGGCGCTGTGTGTATGTTACTTCACGCAAGCATTTTTTTCTAGACCAGGTGAAGGTACGACCTCGACAAAAAACAAGAGGCCCAAGTCAACAAAGAGATGACACAGGACCGACCCCAAATAATATGGGAATGGGCCATTCAAAGAAGAAAGTGAAGGTACGGCCTCATGCTTGATCACCTCAAACTATAGCTATTGCCTTAAGCTTCCCATACATGTTTTACTGTGACGCCCTTGGGAATTAGCTATTGTATACGGCCCAAAAGGATAAGTAAGAGTATGCTTTTCAAAACGTCGCTCAACTTTGGGAATTACTACTCTTTCTCTATATTTATTTTCAATCGCATCACGCCCTTGGTACAATGCTGCGGCGTCACAACTCACAGTTTGGGAAGCCCTGCTTTTAAATAATATGACTCCGAACTCTAGATCCTGCGTGCACGCAGCAGTGCACCGCAATTCTATGGCAATTAAATGGCTTTCATTTTACTATGCCGCCCGGCCATTGTTGCGTTAAGTATTTAATATGATGATTAAGTGTTATCGTTAATAACATGTGCCTACTGTCTGTTTTTCCCTTGGTAGTGATTAACGGTGGTATCGCCATACCGCGCCCGGTCAAATCGCGACGCGGACGATGCGATGTGTTTGTGATTAAATTAATATTAAATTAATAAAGTTTATCATGGCGGGGAACGAGAAATGGATTACACCGACTATGAAGCAGGTTGGTATTTTTTTTTATACAATAACGGGGGAGCTTTTGTTTACGAAAAGCTTAAATTAGCTCTGATAGTTAAGTTGCACAATATTTTTAATAAACATTTACGAGTGGACCCTAAATTTTCTTCAGAATAAGTTTGTGATGGCAAATTACAAGTGTAATAATAATAACCAATAATAGTTAAGGCGCTCTAAGTAGTATTATTTGTGAATAATTATTTTTACAGAGCTTCATAGTAAGTATTTCATAACAATTTTAAATTCAAACGTGATTGTTATGGTAAAATCTATGCATCCATAATTTTGAAACAGGTTTAATGCCACTTTTGTCCACTGGTTTTGGTGTGATAAATTACTAGTATCCACCACTGTTTAATAGTGAATGGGGACGGCCAGTGGGTTATGTGGGACTCTCTGCCTGCTCACTAAAGGCGGGGCCTACCCACTAAAACCCGATGGTGTCCACCGGAGCCCAATTTAATGAAGCTGCGAGTTGGACCCTATAAACTTCCATGTAATGAAGCCGCGAGTTGTGTATGGACTATGGACCCTATAAACTTCCCTAACTTGTCCGATTTGTCAATTTCCAGATGTTCGTGGTATTAGGAATATCGCTTAACATGTCGGGTATGGGGGCCATATTGGGGTTCCCTGCTGTGCTGCTGCCACAGCTGAGGGCACCCGGTTCCCAGATCACTGTTGACAGCGTCTCTGGCTCTTGGATAGGTTGGTAAAAGACAAAGTAATAAACGTAATTTCCTGTCTTGAAATGCTTTTAAATAGTGCTTTTACACTTCCCATTTAAACTACTACTGCTTCAGGACATTATTGTGGGGTAAGACCACTTGCTTTGGTCGGGATTTGAACTCGAGTCACCTAATCCCGCAGGCGATTTTACCAACTATGCTACAACGATACGCTTAGAGCGGTTTCCCACTAGGTCCGATTGGAATTCTATCTGGATCTAGAAATCTTATAGAGTTAAATCGGATGACAAAATGCGTAAACTACAACAGTTCTACATAATATTAGGTACTCCAGAAGTCCGGACCATAATAATTGTCATGGATTCGTATCGGCGACTTAGGGACTACACATCAAACAGAGAACGGGCAGCAGCGCTCTCTGACAAACATAAATCTTTTAAACTGCGATCTCCAACCCGCCTGCCAAGCGTGGGGATTATGGCAAAACCCTCCACTATAGTGGAGGAGGCTCATAGTCCAGCAGTGGACTGTAAAGGGCTGTTGATGATGATGATGATTCGTATCGGACTTAAGAAGTGTGAAGCCGCTCCCACGCTTAGAAGACTTGATTTTGAAACCTTCTTGATGATTAATGACCATGATGATATAGACCAGTATAAATCTGACTATTCGTGTTTTTCTACATTATGTGTTGGCATATTTTTGTTATTTATTGCTTGACTTATATAAATTTAAATAATCGCGTCTTTTGAATCCTGTCTACATAGCAGTTTGACTCAATTAATTATTGTCATTACTTGTAGTTACTTGTCTATTTGACCTTTAACGATTGTTTTTTAATGAAACACGAAAAAATAGAGTTTGCTATATTTTGTATCAGATTTTGCCCACGACTATAGCTTACAAATTATAACTGACCTATATGTTATTCTGATGTATGAGTTTCATCAAAATCCGTTCAGTAGTTTTTGCGTGAAAGAGTAACAAACATACATCCATACATCAGTAGTTACAAACTTTCGCATTTATAATTTTAGCAGTATTTGAATGATACTGCTAACGAATTGACTGGTCAATATTTCATACTGATAACCTCTGTTAATACGACAGATAAGTAGCAGTTTTAATTAAGTGCCATTACGGTATAATTTTAATAAATAAGCTATTTGCTTATGTCGCGTTGAGACCCGTATTTCTCTATTTTAGTTGAAATAAGCTATTTGAAGAAAATAGTTCAAGTTTGCAAATCTTACATTGTAATTTCCACTGTACGAGCAACACAAATATAGGTATTATTAATTGTATTTAATTACTGCATTGTTGCAATTCAAACAAATTGATTGTTTAGCGATTTTATATTTATCAACTGTAGCGTCATAACTCAAAGTTTGCTATTTATAATTAATTAGGTATGTATTTTCTCTGTAACACGTAACATTTGTTTATGTTTTACTTTCCAGCTTCCATCGTGGGGCTTTCTCTCCTCGCGGGAAACCTCATGGTGCCCACTCTCATGGGCAAGTTCGGCAGGAAGGTCGCCAGCCTCATCAGCTGTACCAACATCCTCGTCTGCTGGATCTGGCTAGTCCTGGCCACTGACGTCACCTCCATCCTCATCGCCAGAGCCTTCCAAGGACTCTCTTTAGGCATCAACCTCTCCCTCTCCCCTATCATGGTCGGCGAATTCACCAGCCCATCCAACAGGGGCATGTTCTCCTCAATAATGGCCAGCTCCATCACAGCTATGACCCTGCTGGTCCACGTCGCCGGATCTTACTTAGCCTGGCAGACAGCATCCCTAATTTGTGCTGCTATCAGTTTCACCAGTCTTGCTGTATTGCTGTTCTCACCAGAGTCTCCTAGCTGGCTGGCCGATAAAGGAAGATTTGAAGATAGCCGACAATCGTATCGCTGGTTGAGGGGAGACGCTGAGAACGAAGAGTTAGAGAAAATGCTAGAAGCACGAACAGTCAGAGATGAAAACACTCACAGAAGTAATGTTTTTAGTTACATTAAGAAAGCCTTCAGTAGACGGGAGTTCAACAAACCAGTGCTTATAATGATACACTTATACATGCTATCTCTATGGTCAGGGATGGCATTGTTAGTTGTGTATACGGTTGACACCATTCACGCTATAGTAGGAAACGATGTGGACGTAGCGCTGCACATAACGATTTTAGATGTCCAAAGAACGATATCCACGATATTTGGCTTGATTATAATCAAAAAGCTCAAAAGACGGACTGTGTTAAGTGTAACTGTAGGTTTGAATTTTGCTACTTTAGTGTCTATAGCTGCATATACGTATATAAAAGCAAATACATCTTTGCCGTTTGATCATCCAGCAATTGGTCTTACTCTACTTCATATTCATATGTGTTCGATGTCTACGGGAGCTTTGCCGATGCCAATAATCATATCAGGGGAGTTATTTCCTCTGGAGTTCAGGAGTTTGGCTGGAGGGATCAGCGCCATAGCGTTTTCTGTGAACTATTTCTTGACTAGCAAAACTGTGATGCTTCTATACAACAGTATAGGGATATACGGGACATATGCGTTGTATGCAGCCGTGACTTTTTACTGTTTGGTGGTGATTTTGATATTTTTGCCAGAGACGAAAGACAGGACTCTGCAAGACATTGAAGAGGAATTTAGAGGGACTCCGAGAGTAAAATCTGCTGAGGACAATGCAGCAGCTATACCTTTAAATGCGAGTCATAAAGACGATGAGGTTTAATTGGAATCTGAATTTATTTGTGAGACAGAATGATGGAAACTCTAAGGGCAGATCTAGTCGATGATATTCCATTGAAGCTTTAAACGAGAGTATGGAGTAAAAAGTGTGAGCAAGTGGCATAGCCATAGGCCACAGAATAAAAATAAGTATAGCCCGACCAGGAACATAAAAACCCTCGCCATGTTGCGGAAAACTAATGGTACTAATTTCTTTTAATGGCAACAGTAACTGAAAACTTCATTGACATGTCACCTTGCATGTCAGTCTATTGCTGTCAAAGTGTAAACAAACTGTATTTTAAATGTACACAATTGATTTTGTGAATTAAATTGCTAAAATCTTTTTATAGTCGTGAAAGAAAAGTGGTTCACAATGTGTTAAAGTATTTGTCGAAGAGAAATACTAAGGGTTCGGACAATATTTTCATTGAATAATGTTTCCGACAAAGGTTGTCAAATTGACTGACATGTTTATCGCATAGTACAGTCCACTATGAAAATTAACTGTGGTTTGTTTCAACTACCTATTTTATAAAAAATTGTCACTTTCTAAGTGTTGAATTTTATGGAATTAGGAAAGAAGTACCGAGTTTGAAGCGTTCATGAGCAAACATTGCATTTGAATATTCAAGTTCTGAATTTGATTATTGATGAATAATAAAATAAATCCTACTAGCTCGATTGATGGTTTCATTAATTTATTTAAACCAGGTTACCTATAATAATATTTTTTCGTTAATTTATGAAAATATCAAATTAGCCCGTAATCCTGAATCCTGATACATAAGTGAGCCTATTAATTTAACACGGGTACGATTGTACTCAGTGTTGCACTATCAAATGCAATTGACGCGCCTCTATGCCAGGGTTTTTATGTTCCTGGTCAGGCTTATACTTCGTACAGAAAATTTTCCTCGCGAAGGTATTTAAAAAAATGTATACTCAATGTCGTTAACAATATGGTGTAATTTAGCTTGTCTTAAGAGTCGAGCACCATTTTGTTGACAAGCGTCAGTGATCGGTCCTGCGCCGAAGTCATAGGGCTGACTTCCGTAAAATGATGTGTGACGTGAGGTACCAAACTGCAGAAAATGGCGGAGGAAATACATGACTAAGCATGAATTATCATGAATAACATTAACTACTTATTTACCTCTCAGTGTCTTCAGGCAACTTAAAAAAGTACATTCTGTGTTTTCTATGCGACCGGTAAACCGAAAGTTTAAGAGTACCTACCTATAATATCCTCCAGTCATACCTACTTATAAGTTAAAAATAATTAAATTAATTTTGAACCAAGATTAACTTTGTTATTTTAAAGTTTTAGAAATAAAAGCCTTCTATAAAGAGACCGCCAGAATAAATTTTACATGTGACATCTTTTAGAAATAAATACTTTTTATTTTTACTTTTTAAAATCCAGACATAGCTTTATGACACACTAGCTTTTGCCCGCGGCTTCACCCGCGTGAAATTTTGTTTATCACATATCGTCATAAATAGCCTATATGTTATTCTGGGTTATAAACGATAATACTGTAGGTGTCTACCTACAGTATTATCGTTTATAACCCAGAATAACATATAGGTGCAGACGCACAATGCACAACTTAATCTTAATAATACATCTATAAAAGTAAATAAAGCCCCAAGATATAGATTTATTGAAGGCGATTACCATGCAATAAACACTGATATCATGGCTATTGATTGGCAAAATTTACTTGATTCTCTGCCGGCTGAGAAAGCTGTCAACTTATTCTACGAGCATATATATCAAATTATTGCTAAAAACATTCCTTCAAGGCCAGTGAAGTCTAGAGAATTTCCAGTATGGTTTAGTCGTCCACTCATATATCTTTAAAAATAATGAAAAGGCGTGGATTCAATGGAAAAATATGGTAACCTATCTGACTATGAGATTTTCTCCCTTTACCGTCGTAGGTTTAAAGATAATGCCAAACAATGTTTCGATAATTATATAAAGACTGTGGAGGAAAGTATACGATCTGACATAAAGGCTTTCTGGTCATATGTCCACAAGTTGGTGGTGTACCCGAGGTCATGACTTATAACGACACAAAGGCTGATGATCCCGAACAAATCTGTAACCTTTTTAATGATTTCTTTGGCTCCGTCTTTGAGCCCATTCCTTAAATGGATTTAATATTGACTCATTGCACGCAGAAAATTGTAACAGTAACTTCAGATTATCGGATGTTACCTTCTCACGACAAGAAATAATTAACATACTAAAGGCATTAGATATTAGTAAGGGACAGGACATTCCCCTATATTCTTCAAATTGACGGCCGTAAATATATCTGTCCCATTAGTCATACTTTTTAATAAATGCATGAACGAAACAACTGTACCGCAGGCCTGGAAAAGTGCTAACATTACTCCTATTCATAAAAATGGGTCCAAAAATAATGTCAAAAACTACCGTCCTATTTCTCTTTTGTCGGTCTTGGCGAAGGTCTTGGAAAGGCTCGTCCACAATGCCATTTATCCTCAGTTACATACTATTCTTACGACAGCAACATGGTTTTGTTATGCAAAGATCAACTGAGTCGAATTTACTGATTTTTAGCAACTTTTTGTTCGAGAGTATGGATCAGCGCGTTCAAGTTGACGCCATTTATACAGACTTTTGCAAGGCCTTCGACAAGGTTGACCACGAAATTCTCCTTCAAAAGTTGGCCTTTAACGGTATTAGGGGGGACCTCTTGCGCTGGTTTCAGTTGTCAGGGGTTACAGTTCTGGTAGCAGTGTGGTTACGTCTGGCGTTCCGCAGGGCTCCTTTCTTGGGCCGCTGCTGTTTATAATATTTATAAATGACATAGATCAGTGCTTTAAAAATTGCGAGTTTCTGCTATATGCAGATGATCTAAAAGTTTAAAAAAAAATATAATTCAGATGATTGTCTTAGTCTTCAGGCAGATTTGAATCGTCTTGTTGAATATTGTAGACTAAATAAATTACATCTTAGTATTGAAAAGTGCAAGTCCATAACATTCACAAAAAAACTTCATGTTACTAACTTTACTTATTCTCTTGGTAATACCACCTCAGAGAAAGTTCAAAACATCCGTGATCTTGGTGTATTACTTGATTCTGAACTTCATCTTGATAATCATATATCCAAAATTTGTCAGCAGGGCTTACCAAAATCCGGTAATTTGGACCAGTTTTTTTCAATCCCATTTTACACATAGTTTTCTTTTGTTTTTGCTAATGTTCATGGTATATAATTAAAGAGAAATTATTCAACTTACTATTTCATAGGTATTAACCAACATAATTGTTGTATATTTAGCACAAATCAACAAAATAAGAGTTCAGAGCTTCGGTCCAATTTAGCCAACCGGTTCGATAAATTGTACCACAGGGTTACTAAATTGGATTTCAATAAATTTCAAGCCTATAAAAAAAACTATGGCAAAATATTATACGATACATTCTTAACAAATTAGGTAACGAAAAGGTACAGTAGTTAATAACATAGACTATCGATATTGTTTTACACGTTATCACGATTTTGAGTAAAAGTTTAGTAATTCCAATTATCGTAACGCACACTTGTACCTAATCTACTTTGTTAGTCTTTTGCTTTCATTTATTGTTAGTCAAACATAACTACCCTATTATAACTTCAAAATATGATTTACAAAAAAAAAAATCAAAATCATTTGATAAAGTTCCATACAACTTGATGTGGTACAATTTAGCCGACTAGGTGATAGTGCTTTTTAAAAATCGGTAAAAAATATAGCTTATAAATACCGAAAAATGTTTCAAATAATTGTATTCCACACTAAATTACGCTTCTAAATAATATTTAGAAACACCCTGTGATTAAATTTAACATTATTACAAACTAAACATGCATTGTCAAAAGTTACTTGAAAATAATGAAAAAATACTTTTCAAAATAAAACACACGTGTTCGTTGTCACGGCAAAAACCACATGGCCGATATTAATTGAATTTAGTTGTGTAACGCTGAGTGTTGCAATTACAGACATTCAATAAATACTTTACGAATTATGAGGGTGGTACAATTTACCCGGCGGTACAATATACCGTGTACAATATACCTGACATAGCCCGCAGAATCGCTAAAATCAAGTGGCAGTGGGCGGGGCACATAGCTCGAAGAGCTGATGGCCGCTGGGGCAGGAAAGTTCTTGAGTGGCGACCACGAGCTGGAAGACGTAGCGTGGGCAGGCCTCCCACTAGGTGGACCGACGATCTGGTGAAGGTCGCGGGAAGTACCTGGATGCAAGCGGCGCAGGACCGGTCTTTGTGGAAATCCTTGGGGGAGGCCTTTGTCCAGCAGTGGACGTCTTTCGGCTGAAACGAACGAACGAACAATATACCGAACTCTCCCCTACATTTGCTTAAGAGTCTTGTGAGGCCGCAACTGGAATATGCCACCACTATCTGGAATCCTCATTACAATAAATATAATGAATTGATCGAGGCGGTCCAGAGAAAGTTTTTAAAAAGAGTTAGGTAATTACAAATGTCGGCTGCCAAAATGTTCGTATAGATTAAATAGATACTCTTTGCAAAGTCTCCAGACACGCAGGATCATGCTGGGTTCAATGACCCTATACATATAAAATCATCCATAACTACTTTGATTGTTGTCAGTTAACATATATGGTATATATTACCACAGAATAAGTAATAGTAGGTACCTACAGGTACAGAAGGATTACTCCGCAAGACGATTTAAATAAATGCGAGTCTTGCTACGACGCGATACAGTGGAATTCAGCTCGCACAGCACTGCGTACCTACAATTTTATTCACCTACAAGTTTTGTCTCTTTCTATCGCGTGCCTCTGAACTCTTCTTATGCTGTTAGGGTTGCTGTCTAGTGAAAAAATAATTAATCTACTTATTTGTAATGAGGTACGTATGTAGGTAAATACGCATTCATTATGGAAAAACCTTGGGAGAGGCCTTTGTCCAGCAGTGGACGTCATTTGGCTGAAACGAACGAACGCATTCTGAGCAGTAGTCATGGTAGGTTAGGTTCCTATACTATCCTAAGAATTATTGATTACCTACATGGCCAACATACCTTTCAGCATCTTTGGGAAGCGAAAAAAAAGATAAATCCGGTAGATTTCTTTTCGAATTTAAACACCTGAACGCCGCACAATAATATGCCATTTTATCTTTATGTCCATTTTTAAATAATACTTCGATCATAGAATTAGTTACTACAACGCACGCCAGCGTCCCGACGGGCGCGCGCGTGACATTCGACTGATATAATACCCGCGGGGCGCTTCGCTGTAGGTAATTATCGGATGTACCGCGCGGAGTGAGCCACGCCTCATATTACCAAATTCCGAGCCGCTCTGAGAGAATACGTAGTATGCGTCCGCATAAGCTCTTTTATTTAAAAAAACACACAAACTATGCAGGACAACGTGCGCCGTTTTACAGAATGATGTCGTTGTATAAATCATTACCTTTATGAGGAGGATTTATGTTTTCCTTATCGCCGAGCGCATTCAGAAAGCGAATTATTGAAAAACTTTAGTTTTTTTTAATACTAAAACTTCGGAGTGGGTCTGTAATATGCATGCTTACGATTACGTTAATATTAGGTACTTAATGTGACTAGAATTTGAAAACTAGAGAAACAGATTAGACACTTGAATACGTGGGGTTTCATTGTTGTTGACCGATGCAGTGTTGGTACTCTCTTGTCAGTGGCGGCGTAGCCGTTAAGTAGTTAAGTCCTAAGACACCCCCTGGTACTCCCAGGATTTTGGGGTTACCTACCGATTCGAAGATTGTAAGGCAATCGCACCCCCCGTATCATGACATGGACCGCAGAATTGCCATGCAGATGCGCCGGTGAGTACTAATCTGCGCGACTTGTGTCACCCCCTGATGCTTGGCACCCGGGGCGGACCGCCCCCACCGCCCGCCGCCACGCCGCTACTGTCTCTTGTTTTGTGATCGTTTACAGTTGGTTCTGTAAGGTATCATGAAGGTCCATTGAGTGGCCTTTGCGTTTTAGTAGTAGTGGTAATTTATTAAGTTAAGTATCTGTAGGGTACGTACATTGCATGTTCATTTTATTAAACTAGGATAACGGTGTTGACTGTCCAATTACTTGGTTTTAATATTTATTCAACTATTATATTATATACTAAAAATATGTATTGTTCATTTGTTTGTTTTCGTAAATAAATAAAAAAAAATACTGTAAAGTTTCATCAAAATCCGTTCAGTAAGTTTTTGCATGAAAGAGTTACAAATCCAGACATCCATACAAACTTTCGCATTTATAATCATTTCTAAGGCCGTCAGAAAATGATCTGTGATACAAATTACTTATTACGCATGACATAATTACATTGTAATACACTTTTTGTAACGGTTGTTGTGCCCAACAACCCGTAACATTCTTAATTTATTATAATCCAAACCCATTCGTCTTTTCAAAGGTGGAGCTTCGAGATCTTTTATAAAACTTGTCAGTTTTGTATAAAACATGAAAATAAAATAAAATTCCTTAATTTTATCCAACTCTTTGAATCTAACATCTTATGCCTAATTTTGACTCTAAACAATAAAAAAAAAACAACTGTGAGAATATTAACTAAGGCCCAGTTTTTTGATTCGTAGTTAAAATAACCAATGGTCAAATTTGACAGATCTCAAGTGACAAGTGGTTAAATATCAGAAAAAAATGTTTTTCATACAATGGTTAGCTTGACTTTTAGTACGTTTTTTAACCATTAGTTAACATTTTGTTAATATTTAACCATTAGTAGCAAAATTTAACAATTTGTTATTTTAACTATGAATCAAAAAACTGGGCCTAAGTGCCATAGATTAGATACACGACCCAAAAGTGCTCTACAACCCACGACCCGATTGGTGCCTGAGAATAAGTGGTGGAAGAAAATATTCAGTCTGTAAAATCACAAGGTCTTGATATACGGACAAATAAGCACCAATGCGTGTATGGGTTCCTTTTGAGGTACCAAATTAATAGATATTTTTATTAAAAAAGCGGTTAATCAAATTAATAACAGTTGCTACATTTATTGCAACCTTCAAGAATATGCATATCCCTGTCTCAAAAAATCCCAAACACCTTTTTAACCTCCACCGTCTATTTTTACAAAAAAGTACTACGAGTCGAGACAGTTTAACAATTTCATCTCAAGTTTAATCATTTATTGTTCTATTTCAAATGTCTTGAGTCGTAACCAGAAGTTATGGGGACGTTTTTCAATCACCGAGCCTATAAAGTATATCCACAAAGAGTACCGACGGCAAAAAACAGGTAAAAATAGATGCCGAGCATTGTCTGAACGTTTAAAAAGCTGTAAATATCAGATGATGTTGAGGTATTTGAATTGTCGTCGGAATTGGGGCACGGTGACGCATCTTAGTATACAGGGTGGCTGGATTATTTGACATTGAAATTACCATTTTCTGTATATTATCATAAAACCATAGCTTAATCTTGGTGGTAATTTAAAAGCTCCTCTATCTACCAGTAAAATAATATTGATTCACGTTTCACAGCTTTATTGCTTTCTAAATAAGTAATTTTATTTCTATTTTTATTAAAATCAAAAACTTAGCCTATCATTTCAGGCTTGAATGACGATGATTTTGCAAAAAAGAAAATGTACTTACTGTTGGTTGGTAGTACCAACTTGGTACGATGAGAGTCATATCAAACGCCTATTGCGGCTAGTATCTGACACCACGTTTGCGACGACAGTTGTTTTAGCTTACATGAGAGGAAGAAATTAATGTATTTTTTACCCACAGCGAGAAGATTTTGGCCTGCATTTCACGTAAAGAATCAGACCGAACGGGGAACCGAGTGACCCGAAGTCCTCTTCCAAGGTAGAAGTGGTAATCTACTTCCAACTGCACGTCTTGAATGCGTTTGTATGGCGACGGTGTCCCTCCATAACAATACAATTTAAAACCTATGTAATGGTTATGTAGGCGTTTCTATTTATATAAACAACGACATTAATACTGAGCACAACTTAACGTACCTACTTTGATTATATATTCCCGTATAAGTATTACCTAGTAATTTTCAATTAATTTTATCCAACTGCAATGAAAGAGTAGTACCTTACGTTCTCGGTCTGTATATTTTTTCTCTGTAGTTAATAAGCCGATGTAGGCAAACTGAAAATTGAGTTTCACAAAGCATTTTTCATTTTCCTTGTTGTAAACCTCATGATATCAAGTATCTTCTTATTAAGGTATTATAATTATTGAACTCGTAAACGTTATTGTTATATTTTTAGGGCAATTAAACAAATTCCCTAGAAATAAACTTTGGTGATTCGGCCAATTTTAAGGTTGGTTGGTTTCACAATTTGTATAACTTCGGGCTTTCGGAATCTGGAACAACGGCTTTAATTTAATAAAGTTCCATCATTATCCGTTTTGTCTGACTCTACAAGCAATGTGACAATACCTCCTTCTTCCTTTACCTAGTAGCCACTGCCATAAAAATCATCGGAAATCCATGGAGTCGAAACAAACACGTGAAATATTTTTGTAATGAAGACTATAGGAATTTGATTATGATAGCTTTACTGATTGCCTAAATGGCAACCAATTTATAAGCTTATCAAACAAAAAACATAACCTTCCTTCTGGCGCAGTCGGGTAAAAAGTTGTATTTAAATAAGTAAGTTACATGTTATTTAAGTGCTCAAAGAATTCTTGTTCCTCGTGTTACTTGTTTTCGTGCAGTCCACTTTATAAAACTGAAGTTGCTTATAATATGTCGCATTCCATTCATATCCTACTTCGAACTGCCTAAGGCGGGAATTGAACCCAAAAAAGTCTGGTACAAGCTTTGCTTTTGGAACTAGAGGAACCGCGATCGTCTAACAAAAAATTCCAAAAACGACACCACTCAAAAAAATAAAATCTCCACACCGACTCCATCCCATCCTTGTCCCGGAGTCAAGAAGGCGCGTCTCCACGGCTCGCTTGGCACCAGTCGCGAACGAAAACCCGCGGCGTTCGACCGCCGGTGCCAGTATACCATGTCCTTAGCGGAGGGCGCATCTGACAACGACCAAGCTCGCCAAGAGGACACCAAGAGCGACAAGAGGCAGGTGAGGATTGAGGATTCTGTGTTGTGATGGGCTGGGGGCAGGTATGTTTTTTGTATATTTGCTGAAAGTCCTTAGGAGAATGTCTTTACCCGACTTCATGTTTTTTTTACTATCTCTTTAAGTTCAGTGCTTTGAAAAAAGAGTGTAAAAATCATAAGGCGGGTTGGTTTTCAGTTTTCGAAAAAGTGAGCGGGTAGGTAGTATTTGTGTGAAAACTTCTGTCTTTGTTCTCTAAAATGTTTAAAACCAAAGAACTTTATCTACTTAGAACCCTAAAGATAAAAGCTTACTTGGAAGATATCAACATTTGCACAGACATTTGGTTCATAACTAGCAAAAGCAAAATTTGTAAAGTACCTGGACTACCTACCTATGCCTCCCAAACATAAACTAATTTTAAAATATCCTGGTTATCTTTAATTGGTACCTATTAATTTAAAACACAATGTTAATTTAAATAACAATGCCTTAATAAATAAATAAAATAAAATCAAAATATTATTGAATTCACTAGAGACAAGAAAAGAATCGAAAGTTTTACTTGTGCTTTAATATTTTATAAAATAAGTAGATAAAGAAAACCGTTAAATTAAACAAAAACTTCTAAATATAGACACAAAAGTTGACTATTGTAATTAGATAGGTAATTGTATGAAAATAATGTTATTGTTAACGTAATGTTTATCATAAACTTTTCTTTGGTCGGTTCATAAACTTTAGTTAATCTCATAACTTTCGCGAGCTTTCAGCCAAGGGGGCGTCCATAAATTACGTGAGGCTTTTAGGGGGGGGAGGGGGTCAACAAAAACCTCACCAAATCTCACGTGGGGGAGAGGGGGGGTCTCGGGAAATATCACGTATTTTTTTCCACAAGAAATAGAGAAATAGTTTGCCAGAAAACTGGGTTAAATCTTAAGTAAAAAAATTCGCCAAGTGCGTGTCGTGCCACGCGCAGTGTAGGGTTCCTTAGTTGTCCGTCGTTATCACAATATATTTCAGAAGTAAGCAATTACTTCACCTAAAGTCACTTTTAATATTTTCTTCTAAGGAATTTTTATTAGGCATGAAATTTTATAATACATGAGTAAAACGACTATTACTCTTGAACTAACTGATCTTTCTTAACCGCTATAGTTTTCCTTGAAAGTTCGTAAAAAGCACTATAATTTTGAATTTTTCCGGATTTATCAAGCCAACAGTTTAGTTTTTAGCGGGGGGGAACGCCCTACTCGGACAAAAATTGGCACTTTAAACTTTAACATTTTGCAAACGGATCCCTAAATTGAAAAATGGTCTTAGAAACCCCTAAGCCATTTTAAAAGACCTATCCAACGATACCCCACACGATGGGCTAGAAGACGAAAAAAAAAACATCCCCACTTTACAAGTAGGGGAGCTACCCTAAAAAAAATTTTTTTTTCAAAATTTTATTCTACCCTATTTGTTGTCGTGATTAATATACATACCTCTACAAAATTACAGCTCCCTAGTGCCAATAGTTTCCAAGCAAAACCTCGGACAGACAGACAGCCAGACATATCGAAACTATATTAAGGGTTCCTTGTCAGGACTAAAAAATGATATTTGTATGATGATAATGTTATTTTATTCTATACAGTCTAAACAAATACAACTAAAAATGCTTCCGTCTGCATGTGTGAATACTAAGAAATTAAGAAAATTATAAAACAAGTTCTTTTTTTATCAAAATCGATTTTGCTAGATTATTAGTGATTTTGTAGAAAGGAACAATTAGACTAGGTACTTCTGTAAAAAACAATGTGACCCTAGTACTAACCGCTGTCACTACACGTGTTTTTCTGGATCTATTCGTAATCAGTGGGCTTAGTGCGACTTTACACAATAGTTATCCGCTAGCGACTGCGTAAAAAATGACATACATTAAATGTATGATAATGGGGATGTTGCCTGGGTCAAAAAGCAAGAGTTTTAATTAGTCCGTCAGTTAACTTATCAAAAAATACTCTACACGTATTTTTCACTTTTTCAAACTAATGAAAATTTAAAAAGATAAAGCGCCCCAAAGTTCATAAGAAGAGGCCCGTGACGTCAACGCTTGCTTAAAAATGCCGCACGTTGTGACGTCGTGCGCAACTTCAACGCACCATAACTATGTAATTATTTGTTAGATTGACAAATAAAAATATATGTGTCCAATATTTTTTGATATTAAACATTACGGACTAAAAAAATTTTTTTAGGCAACTAGCCTATTGTACAGCGTCCCTAGCAAATACTTTCAAGAACTAAAATCTTAAAACTTTATAGATCTTTTTGATGCACCCGTTAGCAACAACGTTAAAGCACACAAAAAAAATGTTTCTCAGTTGTATTACTCCAAAACTATTAAAATTCGGATTTTTTTTAATATCACGTGAGATTTGGGGGTGGGGGAGGGGGTCAGGCAAAATCTCACCAAATCTCACCAAGGGGGGCGGGGGGGTTGAAAAATAGCCAAAATTGTCTCACGTAATTTATGGACGCCCCCCAAGCCAATGAATGTCGTAATATGCGTCTCGTTTGTGTAAATGATCGTCTTTGTCTCTCAGAAAATATCATATTGTTTTTAAACATTGGTCAGGTATTCTGTGCATGATCAGAAATTACCGTCGTTTTTAACTTTTTTGATTTCACATTATTTTGAAATAAAAATGTTGTAGGTAATTCAACATTAGGCAAGTAATTAAAGTTTAGTAATAGTTAATTTTTAAGGATTAACAGTAATTCTTGATCATGCACAGCATACCTGACCATTGTTAAAAAATACGAGTAATATTATATTTTCTCAAAGACAAAGGCAAAAAATAAGTACCTAAGTATCCTATGCCCGTTTTCACCATCAATTCCAATTTTTTTAGTGACCCCTATGGAAACAACAGGAATATGGTTTTCATAGGGGTCACTTAAAAATTAGGGATTGATTTACACTACTAAACAAACGATTTAATCAAAGTTGAGTATTTTATTAAATTCAATAATGATGTTCAGTGGTAAATTTTTGATTGATTTTATTAAAAACCTTTCTTTCACACGTGCGTGATAAGTACATCCACGTGGTTTAAAAATCAAAACACACTTCAAAATAAAGTTTAAAAAAACTCTATAATTTTTTAGAAGTCTAAAATCGAAATGAAATACGAGTAATAACCCTCTTTCAACATGAATTTTGTCCATTGTCCAAATAATTAACTGTACATTGTCTGATCAGCCAGATCATAAACCAATCATCCAAAGAAGCCGCAACCGAATCAAAAATTGGTCATCAACTGGACCGCCATTATTTTTATTGTTTAATAGTGTTTTGCCCAAAACCACTGATTGCAACAATGAGAAGACCTTGGATCTATCAGAGATGTATTAACCAATTACTGGGCCATTTGCTCCAAACATGGTCCTGGGAAACTAATGGCAATTGATGATCACTGTGGTCTGTCCACCCACAGATGAGGAGGCGTTTATGGAAGACTATAGACATTTTATTGACCTAATTAAGGATAAACAATTACAGTAATAAAGACGGGAATTAATGTGGATGGATTTTCAAATTAAGTTTTAAAGATCACTTGAAATAATATTGGAGAAATGCATAGGTAATAATAATATAATAAATAATAAATCTTTGGACAATTTCACACAGCGCCAGCTAGCCCCAAAGTAAGCAACTCAATGCTTGTGTTATGGGTGCTAGCTTAACGGATATACTACTTATATACTTTTTTTTATTAAATACATACATATTATACATATTTACACCCAGACCCGTCACAGAAATTAAAATTCATCATTTCAATTTCTGCCCGGCCGGGAATCGAACCCGGGACCTCTCGGCATAGTAGTCCGTTCTGAACCACTACACCAAACGGCCGACATCATAGGTACTTGATTACTTAAATCTTCTCCATTTCTACCTGATACTATTTTGAAGGCAGTTAATTATCATGATGAAGGTGGCTCGTTTTCTCAAGATTAGTTCCTATTTTATTTAAACACGTCTTTAATTTTTCTCTAAACTTCAAAGCTTTGTTATTTGCTTTGCCTCATAAATTCTTAGCAACCTATTGATTTTGGTAATTAATTGTCCCATCTTTATATTAAATCAATTCCATGACAGCTAAATGAGCTTTTGCTCATAGTATTATTAATGTGTCCGTTTTTTGAGAAGGTTTAAGTTAGGTCTCCAATTAGTTTTGTATCTGAGAATATTTACTGAAATGTTCCAAACAACAAACTTATTGCCCAACAGAAGGGCGTAGCATTTTTCAGCAGGAAGTCGTAAGAAAGAACAATGCACTAATCGAGGCGCGTGCGCAACCGAGCGCGAAGACGCGTGCGCCATTACAGCCGACTTTGACTTCTATTGTATTTAGATTCGCCTTTTTCTGGTTCATTCAATAAGCTTTTGTGATGTTATGATGGAATGTTTATTATTAAGAGGGTCATTGTATGTTTGTGTCATTTTACTACTTTTGATGTAGGAGGTGATTACACCTTCATCGTTTACTTATAAATTCTCCATGTTCTAGTGGTTAGAGAATTTTTTAAACTTTTTCAACCCAGAGGTCCTAAATTCTATTTCAAAGCACACCTACCTATTATTAGGTTAGTAACTTGATTGTAGTCTGATTGGAAACGATTGAAATCATTATTATCCAACCTTTAATAGGTCCTTTCCTCAGGATCAATATCTTTCTATATAAACGTTACAACCAAAAAAAAAATTATGATTACAGATCGCTTAAAAATCATTAAAGATTTAACTGTAGTTTCAAAGACAGATCAACATTTTTGTATTATTACTCCAAAATCTAATCTCAAATCCTATTCCCCAGATGTCAGACTCGTACATGTGGAAAGAACAGATTCACACTCTCATGAAGGGCGGAGAGAGCGAGTCCGACATATCGGACTCCGAACACTTCCTCACGAAGGGCGCGTTCCTTCTCACTCCCTCTCACGGGCTCAGCATGGAGAAGGCCTCCGCTATCTGCGAGAAGATGGAGTTCAAAGGCTGCTTCTCCCTCACTAAGACGGCTACTGGGATCCTCTTCAAGTTCTCAAGCGTGGACGACTACCAGATGGTCTTCAAGAAGGGATTCCACAAAGTGACGGGATCAAGGTTCTATAGGAAGGTAATTGGTGCTGGTGTAATGCTTTTCAAAATTGAATCCTTCATTAAAGTAAATAGCAATTGCGTCGATGGTAATCAAACAAGATCTCAAAGTTGTGATCTCAAACAACTTTAATTCTTGAGTAAAATTACTTCAATAGCTAGTTTTCACGGTTGATTCAGATATTACAGCCTTGAATAGCCGTGTTCTTTCTTCGTTCCTTACAATTTTAAAACTAAAATAGGTTTGTGGGCGTAAAAAGTCCACGAACTTTTAAGATGCAGCCTGCTTTTTTCCGAAATCGATTATTTTTTCCAGATTTTCCAAGTTTATGCAGATTGGGTATGGACATCGTACATTGATACACAGATGGCCAGTATTTAACAGATTTTTATCATCGCTGATTTTGTTTGTGATTGTTTTGTGTTTTCTAGTATATTTTCTGTTTCTGACATCATTTTCTTCACCATTCTCATCTTCATCTCTTCGCCCTTCTGAGTGCTTATCTGTGTATAACTTATTATTTAATGTATTTTTCCGCTTTAGATCATTATTTTCTCATTTATTTTTATTGTATTTCCGCGTAGAATAACAATATAAAAAAAGTATTTTACTAACATGTTTGTGAAAGTCGCATAAGTATTATGTTTTTACAGCTCAGTATTGCGCTTAATAGTCTTTTTGTGTTATTCTATTAAGTTTGCTATGCATTATGGTGTTGCAAGACAGACAAACGCCATTTAACTGGGTTTCGCTACATTATTTTGCTTTATATTCTTCTATCATTGCATATAACTATGGATTACTCTTGTATCTTACCAATTATTCTATCTTATTTATTTATAGTGGTACCACCAGCATTAATAATAATTTTACATTTAAGTCAAAATTGTCACCTACATTGAGATTATTCACGATATTTTTTTGAAAATCTTCAATTAGTTAACTGTAAAAAAAATTGAAGATATTGTACAATAAATTAAACTGCGCTCATCCTGTCCAGCCTTCAAAAAGTCATCATCATTTCCACCACGTTGTTCGCCATTACGAACCACCTCTTATTTCCAGATCGCCATCCCGTGCCGGCCGCAGAAGACTTTCACCGTGTATGTGTACGACGTCCCCGACGAGGTGCCTGAGGAGGACGTGCGCCACGCTCTCTACAAGTTCACCTCCGTGGTCGAAGTGGTGCGTCTACACTTCACCGGTTCTCCCAGGGAAGGGAATACTGGTGAGGAATCTTTAGAATTATTCAGGACTAGCGGCCGCCCGCGACTTCATAGTCATTCGTACGCGTGGATCCCCCTTTTAGGGCTGGAGTTTCGTAAAATCCTTTCTTAGCGGATGCCTACGTCTTAATATCTATCTGCGTGCCAAATTTCAGCCCGATCCGTCCAGTGGTTTGGGCTGTGCGTTGATAGATCACTATATCAGTCAGTCAATTTTTAGTCTACTACTGTCCTAGGTAAAATATGACCTTTGGAGCATGATACTTTGGTCCAACATGTTGGTCCAGCACCTTGGAGCAACCTGAATTGCCAGGTATAGGCTTCTTGGAAAAGTTTACATCAAATTGGCCTAACTCATGTGCCCAAGCGCCCAGTTGATGGCTTGAAAATAGCTTTTAGGCGCTATTCCTATAGCACCACACCCTATAACCACATGGGGACAATTTCAGCTCGCATTGAGAACTGATGGAAGATACTTGGTCAATGGTCATCTCTTTCAGTGTCTTTCATCATCATCAAATTTGTTTGCAGAATACCAGTGCAAGTTCCTATTAAAACATGCTGTGAAAAATTCTAAACAATACTAGTTACTTCCTTTAGTTACCTAAATATTTTTTGGTGTTCATATATCCTACTATCTCTCCCAGGAACCTCCACCCCCAAGCCGATGGAGAAAACTCCTCCCCGCGCGCTGACCACCATCGACGGCGAACTGGTCAGCAGCATGGTGCCCAAGGAGGCCAGCAGCGTCATCCGCGTGACCCTGGCCAACATAGAGGAGGCCAACATCCTGCTGCAGAACGGACTCGACTTCTACGGCGCTACGTACTTTCCTACGGAGCTGGCGACTCCAGCGCAGGCCGCTAAGCTTATTAAACCGAGCAGGTATGTGTTTGAAAGATAACTACAACCCCTCTATAAGGGGTCATCCATAAAGTATGTCACACGTAAAGAGGGGGGGAGGGGGTCGACAAAGTGTGACATGGTGTGACAAGGGGTGGGAGGGGTCCTAAGTTTCGTGACATCACATTTCAATTGTTTCAAATATTTGATATAATGTTGATTTCATAAAAAAAAAGTACTTAATTTAAATGGAAATAAAACTAATTTTCGGAACTGCTGTTTATTTAATATTTTTTCTATGTGAAATTGCAAAACTTGTGACGTCACACTAGGGAGGGGTCTCAGAAGACTACACATGGGGGGTCTCAGAAATGTGACCACCTGTGACAAGGACGGAGGGGGGCTCAAAAAATCATGAAATTCGTGTGACGTACTTTATGGATAACCCCTAATCTGGTCGCCGAGCACGTAGAATTTTGTCCAATGACCCCAAGCTACCTATCCTTATCGCTCGCGCGTAATTATTGCTGTCGCGACTGTGCGACGGGCGGCAGCAGTGAGTAAGCGAGCGCGAGGATAGGTAACTTGGGGTCATTGGACAAAATTCTACGTGCTCGGCGACCAGACTTTAGCTAACTCACCTTCAAGGATTGACAACGATTAGTCCGATGGTGTCTACTGTCTATTGCCTAGTTGTCACCACCGGATCATAATGTAGTACAAACAGATCAAGTTAACTGCGCACTTGGCAGCCGTGACGTCCTTCGACCCTTTTTTGCGCGTCGGGAAATGCTTTGCGCATACCCACTGGCTGATGGGGACAGTCAGTCAGCGGATTATGTGGGACTCTCCCCGCCGGTAGGGCGGGGCCTACCCGCTAAAACCCGACGGTGTCTTCCGGGGCCATTGATACGAAGCCGCGAGTTTTTGTCCTATTGGACATTCGTCCGCGGCTTCATCTCAGGCTACTGTTCGCTCTTGGGCGAGCCCCTCCAGCTTCGAGGAGAATAGTCATTCCACTAGGGTCGTCCGCTAACGGTGCACTGAAATCTGGTGACTCTCTGGCATGGACGGGGCGAACGAGGGGAGGTGAGCGGGTGAGTGCGAGGAGAGCCGCATTCCAGCGAGGTGCGCAGTAACTTGATCGAGTTGTAGGGTTGAATCCTCTCCGTATTTTGTGCCGTGGACAATACCTTGAATAGCTTTTAATTTTTGAGGTAGCATTAAAAAAATATTACATACCTATATGAAATTCAGGTGATTAACACAATACATTAATTTTCTATTGTTCCAATTTACCCAGAAATTGCCAAATTAACCAAGATGACTGTAAAAATTCTTGATTTGTTTGGGTTTCAAATTAATGTGTGCATACTCTTTGAAATAGGTTTTATCTTAAGTTAAATTACAGGTGGTTATTATACAAAGACAGAGTGGATGCGAAACCAACACCGTTTAAACCCAAAAAGTAACATGTATAGGTAGGTAAATCTAAATCATTGCTACCTACCTAATATGTGTGAGGAGTGAATGCTATGGGTAAAGTTGAATACCTACATCAAAATACCCACTAAACGCCACTAACAGTTTTTTTTGCCACAGAGATAAATGGAACTAAAGTGGAAACCATTTTGCGTGATGTAGCTAAAGCCCGGTCTGTGAGCATGTAGAATTTTGTCCAATGACCCCAAGCTACCCTTCCTTATCGCTCGCGCGTAATTATATTGCTGTCGCGACTGTGCGACGGGCGCCCGCAGTTTCTTTACTCATGTGCCCGCAGTGAGTGTGCGAGCGCGACAGCAACATAATTACGCGCGAGCGATAAGGATGGGTAGCTTGGGGTCATTGGACAAAATTCTACGTGCTCACGGACCAGACTATAGAAATCACATCTCTCAGCAGGCACATATAAACCGATCCAGCTAACTGCGCACCTCGTAGGATTGCGACTTCCTCGCACTCACCCGCACACCTACCCGCGTTTGCCCCGTCCGTACCAGAGCCAGGCCTGGCTCACTCCGCGCGGTACATCCGATAATTACCTACAGCGAAGCGCCCCGCCGGCGGGTATTATATCAGTCGAGTGTCACGCGCGCGCTCGTCAGGACGCTGGCGTGCGTTGTAGTATGATTATAATTCTATGACCGAAGTATTATTTAAAAATGGACATAAAGAGAAAGAAATATTGTGCGGCGTTCGGGTGTTTAAATTCGAAAAGTAATCTACCGGATTTATCTTTTTTTTTCGCTTCCCAAAGATGCTGAAAGGTATGTTGGCCATGTAGGTAATCAATAATTCTTAGGATAGTATAGGAACCTAACCTACTATGAAGGTTTTCCATAATGAATGCATACTTACCTACATACGTACGTACCTCATTACAAATAAGTAGATTAATTATTTTTTCACTAGACAGCAACCCTAACAGCGTAAGAAGAGTTCAGAGGCACGCGATAGAAAGAGACAAAACTTGTAGGTGAATAAAATTGTAGGTACGTAGTGCTGTGCGAGCTGAATTCCACTGTAGCGCGTCGTAGCAAGACTCGCATTTATTTAAATCGTCTTGCGGAGTAATCCTTCTGTACCTGTACTATTACTTATTCTGTGCCAGAGCGTCGATGTGACGTCACGGCTGCCAGGTGCGCAGTTACCTCGATCGGGTTGCAATAGTTACAACCAATGCCAAAGCTGCGTGGGACGTTCACCCACGATGTGGACTGATGACATGATAAAGGTACCAGGAAGGCGCTGAATGCAGGTCGCTACCAACCGTGCGATGTGGAAGTCATTGGGGGAGGCCTATGTTCAGCAGTGGACGTCCTATGACTGAAATGATGATGATGATGAGTATTATTCTCCTTCCAGAGTCACAGGAGGCACTGTATCAGCTCGAGTCCGCGATCTTCTACCAGTTTTCGACCAGCAGGGCTTCGCCAAGTTTGCCCCCCCCGCCTCTCGACTGGTCAAGCCCCGGTCCAAGTAAACAAACCCTCGCCAAGTCCCCACAACACTTGGCTATGAAGCCAAGGGCACGGCTGACCCTGACGACCCGGCCAAGAACACGGTTCTATCGAAATATAATGTAACCACAGTAAATCAGTACTAATATCGAAATTAATGATGAGATTATTTTTAGAAGATCCTTTTGTACCATCCTGCATTTACATGTTACGAGATACTAACGTGCCATTGATAGAACTTGTATTTACCATTGTTACCAATAAATTAATTTAATTACTTAGATTTGTCTTATTTGTAATTTTAAAAAAGCCAAGTAAAACGAATCCAATAAATGTATCACAACCGCCGCTGGCGCCACCTATGAAAAGCTTTGCGTGAAAAAGAGTCGTAATTTTTATTCTTATTTTTATTTATAGGGTAGGCCGAAAGATCGAACCAAGTGCAAAATTAATTGTAGCACAGTGTAACTAATTTGTGACTAGATATTTTATTTGTTATTTAATTTTAAATCTAAGAAATATTGTAAATAATATAATAAATAGCCACAGAAAAAAACAATCCAATACAAATAGCAAAGCATCACAACAGCTGCTGGCGCCACCTGTGAGAAGCTTTGCGTGATAAAAGAGTCTTAATTTTTATTTTTATTTGTAAGGTAGGAAAGATTTTACTCGAATACGAACCAAGTGCAAAATGAATTAGCACAGTGTGATTTGTGACTAGATTTTTGTTATTTATAATTTAAATCCAAGCAAAAGTGTGGATAAGTAAAGAATCACCGTTACGAATCCAATACAAACAGGAAATGGCGCCACCTATGAAAAGCTTTGCGTGAAAAAGTAAGTCAGTAATTTTTATTTTTATTTGTAGGGTAGGCCAAAAAAACAAATACGAACCAAGTGCAACGTCAATAATGACAGTGTGAAATTGTGACTCGCAATGTTGCTGGAGTCAAGTTAATAAATTAGTTTTTTTTTCCGAATATTTGCATTCATTGTGTGTCATATTACTAAAAACGGTTTCAAATAAACTTTACAATTGAAATGTGTGATTGACAAGTGTCCCTTTCAGTGTGTTGTTTAGTAACTTAATACCTAAGTACAAGTGTGGTTGGTGGTCAGAGACGAAATGAGGAAGATCGAGATCTAACAAGGTAGGATTTTTATTTTGCTTTACTGTTTTTTTTACCCGACTGCACCAGAAGGAGGGTTATATTTTTTGTATAGACTATCCCGCTGAAATCTATGTATAGGTAGTTATTTCATTTTAGTGTATTGCGTCAGCGTATTTAGGTTAGGTAGGTACTTGGGTATCTTTAGAATCTCATTTGTTTGCGTATTTAGATGGTAGGTATATTTTTCAAAGTCGATTTTTTGTATTGGTGTTTTAATTGCCATGATGTGGAGGTATCGGAATATTAGGAATGCTAATGAAATGGTATAAAAATGAAACGAATGGCGTAGTATCACAATAATACGATTTTTATTCAGTCATCACTGACAATATGAGTATCACAGATTAAATATTACGTCGCTTAGCGAACTAACTAAACATAAAATATTAATAAGGCACATAATTTATACTTTCAGTTCGGTACTCTTCTTCCCGTGTTTGAATCTCTCTTCAATTTCTTGCAAGCTTTTTCCTTTAGTTTCTGGTAATATGAAATACATAACTGCTGTTCCAACTAAGGACACTACTCCGTAAATAAGGAATGTGAAGACTTCCCCGAGGTGTGTCATCATGCCAGGGGCTGTTTTGACGACGACAAAGAACGCCACGAATGTCGTTGCTGAACTTATACCTGAGCCTAAGCCTCGTACTTTGGTTGGGAACACCTCCCCACACATTATCCATGGAAGAGGTACCAGACCTATTGATATCGCGCAGATGTATACGGTCAGGCAAGTTAGCGGCACCCACGATAGGTTCTCAGGTTTGAAATACAGGAACATTGACAGCCCAACCATGGCTATCGCAGTCCAAATACCGCTTATGAAGCACAAGGGCCTTCTGCCATATTGCTTACAGATAACACAAGCGACAACTGACATCGCCACTCTTACTAAATCTATGATCAGCATCACCATGTAGTGGTCCAAGCCAGAACCGACCGCCTTCTCCACGATTTCAATAGAGTAGAAAGCAACCGCGTTGACCCCGGAGAACTGGCACGTAATGAAGAATAGGATCATGATGAATAGTGGCTTGATCAGCTCAGGGCTTCGTAGATCCTTGATTTTCTCTTGCCAGGTCATTATAGGTTCGTTGTCAGCAGCTTTTTGGTTGTCAATAATACATTTTAGCTCAGCATTAGCCTCTTCGCTGTAGCCTCTCAGCCAGCCGAAAGCTTTTACACCTTGTTCGACTTCTCCTTTAGAAATAAGCCACGTAGGACTTTCGGGGATCAGCATTAGAAGTAGGACTGATAGGATAGGGAATAAGCAGCAGATGGTAGCGGTCCATTGCCAAGTCATGAAGGTTCCGATGAGGTGGGCAACGAATATGCCTATGGCTATGGCTAAAGATATGGCAGCGAGGAAGAATCCTCTGTATCTGGGTTCACTGGTTTCTCCGATGTAGACTGGGCCTAGGGGTCCGAGTAGACCGACGCAGAGTCCCGTGAAGAATCTGCCGAGGAGCATGAGGCCCAGGTTCGATGCGCAGGCGATGAGGATCCACCCGAGGAGGAAGGGCACACAGATGATGTATAGGGACGTCTTTCTTCCGAACTTCTCCATCATCCAGCCCGCGATGAGGCAGCCTGGAGCCATGGGCAGGGCAGCCATTGCAGCTGTAATAGACAATAATAAATAATAAGTTTTATGAATAGGAATAAAGATTGTGGTTTTGCACACAAATATTTCTATAGTAGGTAAGAGATCGAACTCAAGACATCTGGTATTGTAGCCTGTTCATAACGTAAAGTCGCACAATGAAACTCAAACTCAAAATGTTTATTTACCGATTATTTCGGGTAGAAATTACAGTAGTAGTGGTGGCTTGAATGCCACACTAAATAAATACAGTACAGTGCTTGCAAATAATCACATATTTTTTAAACGATTCTCATTTCTTAATAATATGTAATTTTCCACGCTGTAACGCCTTAGCTATTTGAACTGCAAATATTATATAGAAGGTTTGTTGGCTACGATTGCTTGCTGTGGCAGCCCGTAAATAATAAAATGACTAACGCCCGATTCACAAACATTACTATGAGGTTTCATAGAGCGCGTGGACGCACAGGGTCACACACGAACCAATCACAGAGCAGAGCTCTATTCAACGCTGTGCGTTCGATTTGCTGCTTCACTTAAGCAAGCATCATTTGTGAATACGGGCGTAAGACAGTTTATGACAAGTTTGTTTTTCTCCAAGCCTTGGTGTCCTTCTTATTATTAAGTTCGTTCGTTCGTTTCAGCCTCCTCCAAGGTTTTCCACAATGCACGGTCCTGCGCTGCCCGCATCCAGGTTGCATTATTAAGTAGTTGTCCTAAATAAAAAAATTGTAACTTACCAATCCAAGACTTGGTGCTGGCGTCGATCATGATAGGGCTGCCGGGCTGCTCGAGCTTGGGCAGCAAGATGGCGGAGTAGCCCGACGTCAGGCCCGCCGTGAAGGTCAGCAGGATCGCCGCTGATGATGCCAGGGTCTGGAAACCAGATAGATTGATTTTTAGTGGGAATGAATTATTTTAATATGGCAATAGTTGTAGGTTGTAACTATAAGATTAGTTAATCACGGATACTTTTCCATGCAGGGCAGTGGGCAGGCCTCTTACTAGGAGCGCCAATCTGGTAAAGGTCGCGGGAAGAGCCTGGATGCGGGCAGCGCAGGACCGTTCATTATGGAAAACCTTGGGGGAGGCCTTTGTCCAGCAGTGGACGTCATTTGACTGAAGCGACGACTTTTTCATACTTTTTAGCACTCTCGTAAAAACCATAATTTTCTCGAGTGTCATTTATATTTTGGGGTTTAATAATGTTTTTTTTCGTACCTACTTATGGGGGCATTTTTGTCGATAAAATTGACAATCACAACAACGCCTTAAATTATCGCTAGCCCTATCCCAAACACACTGTATAGGGCACAACAACTTTTGAAATGTCAATTTTAAGTTTAATGTAAAGCTTTACAAATATCGTTTCTTACACGCAGTTAGTTTAAAGTTCCCATATAATTAGCATAAACATAGATGGCGCTATCGACGATGAACTTTTTTGTTTTTAAACTGAGTGTCTTGAACTCAAATTATTCAAGTAACATCATGTTTTGAAATTGAATAGTAAACAGTCAATATCTTTATTGCGTCGCGACATGAATGACATGATAGCATTATAAAGATCTTATAGATAAACGTGTAAATAGACATCACATGAGCCATCCCGTTTTTTGTAGGATCCCATTTAGTATTACAAACAGAGATATAGCGAGATGCCAATTAATGCACTGAGTTCGAAACTCAGAGTCGCATTAGAAATTCAAACACACAAAGTAATCAAAATAATTATCTCATTATCCACTGCGGTATCAGCCTACTCAACGTTCGAATAATCTTTAGTACTACGCAAGCAATGTAAACTGTTTATTATGACGTCACTGCTGTCATCACTGCTGTTACGAGCAATGTGTTCTATTTTTGGGCATATTGCTGCGACACCGGCCACGCCCCCTTATCACATCTCCCTTTAGTTTCTGTGATCTGTGGTTACAATCGTATGTGTGTATGTGTGCTCACACGACAGTCCAGTTTTGAGAAAACCTGCATCTCTGGAGTCGGTAAAACTGGATTGCGGTGGGAACGAGTCCTAAGGGCATTGCAACTTGCAATTTTAATGGTTAGCATAATAATTTTAATTAAAAATCAGTAACAAGGTCAATTACCTGTCTCCAAACCGGCGAGAAACGGACCACAGTCTTGGAATCGCTCAACAAAGTGGCTTCCTTGTTTTCCTTATCATTTAATACTAATCCGGTACCAGAGTTTGAAATCTTGAGATTTTGCATGTAGTGCGACGTTTTGCTTTCGCCGCCATTTTTGGTTTCATCTTTGTTATTTTCTTCATTTGTTTTCTCGGCTTCCTTTGTTTTGTTCTCGTTTGTATCTGTATCTTTATCACTAGTGTTGTTAATACTATTTGTTTTTAGTTCTTCATTTTCGGTTTTTGATTCTGCAACTTCAGGCGGTGTATTTGGTTCTTCCACGTGTGTGTGATCTTCTACCCTCTCAGCGGTATCACCAGCCATAGTTTATCTGGAACAAGATTTTTACATTGTTAGCATATTGGTATTAGTCATTTATTTTTGTGAAATATATTCAGGCGAATATAATGAGATAAGGTCTATAGGTATAAACATATGTTCTACTTGTTTGTGACCAACTAAGGGGCGTAGCATATCGATCACAAAGAATGTGTTAGAAATGGAACATATCTAGTCAAAATGACGAAGTTGAATGCTCTTCTTTGTAATTTAAAAAGTCACAGACAAAAACATCTAGGTAAATGTTTTTGTCTGTGACTTTTTAAATTACAAAGAAGAGCATTCAACTTCGTCATTTTGACTAAATATTGCATTATATTAATCTAATACTAATATTTGACATGTAATAAAGAAAAAGAAGATTATCTAAACAAACTTCACACATCGTACCAAGGTTTTGATAAATGTTCGCAGACTTTTTATTCTGTCTACGTTTTATTAACTTTAGAATAGTTTGTTAATTATAATGAAAACTATCCAAGGCTTCCCGATCCAACGTGGCAATAATCGGAACTAATAATCCAGCATTGACAATGGCGCCCTCCAGTCAACGTCTTGGCTGGGACGGTTCAGTGTAGGTCATCTATATCGATTTATAACTGACAGTGGTCAATAACTGTAGTAAACAAACCAGTAAATTTCGTGTCCATTGTTCTGGCTGACGTAATTTACACCAAATGTATCGTTTGTCGGAGTTATCGCAGACCAAAGTTTTATAGGCCGACGACACGAGCAGATTTGTAGCGAAATTGTGCGTAGTATACTCAGTACATTATGCTAAACTTTGTGACAGTATTTTTAGTTTAATAGGTGATAAGATTCAACGATGAGTTTGGTGGTTCTCATCGCCATCATCATCATCATTTCAGTCACAGGATGTCCACTGTTGAACATAGGCCTTCCCCAAATTGGTGGCTCTACATTATACATTCTTAGATAGATAGTGTACCTTTATTGTACACTATACAAAACGTACAAAAAAGAAATAAATAACATTAAAATTGCACAATTTAGACGGTCTTATCGCTAGGAAGAGTTCTCAGGTTATATTTTTTGAGACAACGTAAAAAGAGAACAGTTGCTTACAGTATTTTTTATAGAAATACTAGCTGACCCGGCGAACTTTGTTCCGCCTTAATGGCAATAAATAAGCAGACTTTTTTTTTTAATTTCGAACGGGATAAAAAGTATCCTATGTCCTTCTCCTGGCTCTAAACTACTTCCCTGACAATTTTCAGCTAAATCGGTTCAGCCGTTCTTGAGTTATAAGTGGAGTAACTAACACGACTTTCTTTTATATATATAGAAGAAGTGCAATGAAATGTCCAAATCTAAAATATCAATACCGGAACAAGAATCACCTAAATTATTAAAAAAAACACGTGTGAGTACTTAGATCGAAACGAAATTTCATAGCAAATTAAACAAAATAGATTATAGTACCAGTTAGTTATTTTAGTTAAATTGTTAATTATAGTTTCAAACTTGCTGAGCTCAAATGCCGAGTAAAATTCAAAGAATTCAATAGGAAAAAACAAACTAATTATTTATAACTAGGTACCAGTATATTTTATTTAGGCTAATTAAGCAATAAAAGTCTCGTGTCTGCCAAAAGATTAAAATAAAAGTACTTAACACTAAAACTACACTGTTATTTGTTCTGGATCCACAGACAGATTTTTCCATGCTAATAATTATAAATGCATCACGCGATCCATTGTATGCCTTGGACTAATTATACATTTCGCAAGTGTCAATCGGTAGGTCAACACCATGTGGTTAACTAGAAGTCCTTATAAATATTAATAATGGTGTTATAATAACTTGGTGATTATGATTATTTTGATAAATTGTTTCAATATATTGGAATAAGTTTAGCGTAGATGAAGAATAGGAAGTTCATCTTTACCTATACTAATATTATAAATGCGAAAGCAAATCTGTCTGTCTGTCTATCTGTCTGTCTCGCTTTCACGCCTAAACCACTGAACCGATTTTGATGAAATTAGGCATAGAGATAGTTTGAAACACAAAGGATAGTTTTTATCTCGGTTTTTGAAACAGGGACGCGCGCAATAAAGTTTTTCTGTAACAGACAAAATTCCACACGGGCGAAGCCGCGGGCGGAAATCTAGTACCTACTTAATATGTTCATACCATTTTTGTTGATTTGTTAGCTACTTGAATTTCTGTTTAGGTAAAGTACTACCTACATAGTGACTATACTACCTGAGCTAAGCTTATGACGCTAGCCTAAATCCTAAATCCAAATTTAGTCCCTTATTTGGACACCATAGCATTAGTGTGACGTATGACCTTGCTAATGCAATAAAAACCAAATTCAAAATATTTATTCAGTTTAGAATTGTGTGCACTTATGAACGTCAAAAATGTAAATAATAAAAAAAGAAAAGGTAGCCCTTATGGGGCACTTTACATGTCTTCTGATGTTTTAAGACATGATACACCACAACAACTTCTATATAACATCATCTTTTAAACCATGCAGATGTTACAATTTTCCAAGGCCCTAATATCTGAATGATGGCTTTGTATAGATATGGCCTTGTTCTATTAAAGAAATTCGATATTTGGGCCATTGATTGATTAATAAAGTATGTTTGATGACGCCACTTAAACCATATGCTAAACATTATGGCATCTGTGTATGCTTTTCATGTAAAGGCTGGCCATATTCTATACGAAAAAAATCGGATATTCTTTTTATACATAACAAAGCAGATATTTGACTACAATCACACCTGGTGTTAAGTGGGATGAAGTCTAGGATGGTACATAACTGCCCTGTAAGTGTTTATTCACTATCGCCTTGAAAAGGCCCGGGTTATAGTCTTCGGGAAAGACAGCAGCAGGCAGCGAATTCCAGTCCCTAGCTGTTCGCATTTTAAAAGAGTCATCGTTTTAGAGAGTAGTATACTATAGTGTTAACTTAGACTCTATTTTACGATTAAGATACTGACTTACAAATATTATGTCTACCTACAATAACACTAATTTACAATCGATTACGATTCAATCACATGATCTACAACGAGGGCACGAGTCAACAGATGCCGATAAGACGGGTCACGAGCCACGATCGCACTGGGTTAATAATAATGATGTAATTAATAGTATAATTCACGTTATCTAATAAACAAAATTTGCCGGTTAAATGTCATTAATGCGACCCTCATTTATTTTCCTTGTCCTCTCTCTGGGTTGTGTGGAATAGATCGCATCGATAAGACCGCCAAAAGTGTGTCGTTTTGATTTTGCTAGTGCTTAATAAAGTAAAAGATGTTAATAATACTATTTCCATTACTAATCAGCCTTCTGTAAAGTAGAAGATGACCATGATATAAAGCCAGGCTTCTGCTATAGCAGATACTCAAAATGGTCTACCTATATCGAAACCCAGGGGTATCGGGCAGATTGCAATTTTAAAGGAACCATTCCTGGGGGTCTTTGGGAAGGAATAGAGTACGACAGGTTAGAAAATTATTTACCCTCTCTTTCCTATGGGAATCCTGCATCCTGGGTCCTGCATACGAGTACACTGAGCCAGTATAGACTTTAAAAAGTAAATACAACTGAACCGCCATTTTCCAGAATCTAACGGCTCTAAATAATTATCTCGTGAAAAGCTCTCATTAGCGTTCTACTAAAACTGAACTAACCGTTAGGAAGTTGACATCTAGTTTAACTGAAGATGAAAGTAGAAATACTGGTACAAGCTGGTTACACGGCGCCATGTTGACGGACGGAATACGGAATCTGCTACGGTCTGATGAAAACTCCACAAACTACACTTGCGCGAAAGACACAGCGCGAAGACACTAGCGCGAAAAGCCATTTGCGCGCATGGACACTTTTGCGAAAAGACATGAGCGTAAATGGACGTTTGCGCGAAGGATATTTGCGAGAAAACTGTTTTCACGCAAATGTCCTTCGCGCAAACGTCCATTTGCGCTCAAGTCTTTTCGCGCAAACGCTCGATACCTACGCACTTTTACACGCCCCAGTATTAACCCTACCACTGCTTCGGGACAATAAATGGGCCAGTGCTGAGAAAAAGCAGCGCAAGAAACTTACTATGAGGTCTCACAGTGCATGTGGACGCACAGCGTGAAACACGAACCAATCACAGAGCTGAGAAGATGATGGCGCAGTGGTATTGCTTTGTCCATACGGAGAACCAGATTCGAATTCTGATTTTAGTTCGAAGTTCTAATTATTTAGTAATTTTCCTGAGGCTGTATGCGAAGTGATTCACTAATATTATTTTGTTTTTAACAGTCATTTTTCATTGTTTTTGGACCTTAAGACAAGCGAATAAGGTACACAATATGGTGGGAACTATATTCCCACTACCCTTTAAAGGCTTGACTTTAAAGACGATCAAGTGTGCTAGGGTTCTAAGGCAGACATGTGTCGGGCAATTAACTGGACTAATCAACAAACAATGCGTTTTGCTAGTAAATAATCCGCCATTTTGAATTTCAATGCAACGCGCACGTTTGTAGCGCCATGACCGAGGCACTACAGCATTTATAAGTAATCTTATGTTATGTGTGTTAAAAATATTATGTTAATAATACTCATAGGTATTATTAACATAATATTTTTAACAGTGCTTAACTCAGTCAGTACCTGAGGTGTGGGAGCGACACGGGAGGATATTTTTATATTTTAGTTCTGATATTTGCCGCTAGATGGCACTGTTCTTTGAGGTTCGAAAAGCTGCACCGCGATGTCCAGATTTTTTATCCCACCAAGGTTTACAGCAGGATTCGATCCCGCAACCACTCCTATCGTTGGTCCCTCGCGCTATCTACCGGGCCATCCTATACTCCTATCGTTCGTTTCCACCGAAAGACGTCTACTACTGGCCAAAGGCCTCCCCTAAGGATTTCCACAAAGACCGGTCCTGCCTGCGCCGCCCGCATCCAGGCACCTCCCGCGACCTTCACCAGATCGTCGGTCCACCTA